GCTATTGATAAGATCAACTTTACACTCTCTTTGTGTGGGTTTTACAGCTGGGGGTGTGGCACACACACTTGTTGAGGGAGTAAGTGAAAGCTCGCACACACACACGTACACACACAGTTGAGGGCGTGCTAAAAAAGTTTTCATAATTGACGACAAGCAGCAGTATCCTCCAGCCACATTCCCCCTACTCCACACATTTTCTCCCAGTGTAACCCTTTCCATGGCGATGATGATGATGGGCAAATATTTTACGTCATTAATTAGCGCATGGCAGCGCGCTTGAAACTATTACGTAACGCGGTTACACCAGCAACAACAACGCCGACAGCATAAACTATTATGTGCAAAATTTTTAATGACGTTAGCGTGGGGGTGAGGGGTGTGGTGGGTGGCTAACAAAGAAATGCCAGGATAAAAACCAAAAAGAACATTGTTCGAGGCATTTGCATTTCTCAACTCGTTTACGAACTTTGCTTTATACCCTTTCAGGTGATAATATATCTTTGGATGTACGCACATAAAAAGTAAGTGCATACATCTTATTATATGTGATATGACACCAGGAAAGTAAAAAATACTTATGGCTTACAAACTTAATGTACTTATCTTATAAAACCATTTTTTTAAAAAAAACTTTATGTATATATTTATATATATATATTTTTTCTAAAAGCTTTTAATAAATTGTGTCAGTAGAGTACAATTTTGTTTAACGGATTACTTTAATTTCCTATACTTTTTAAGCTAAAAAGTTATTTATATATTTCGAGTTTAAACTCCAATTGAAAGGAAAAAAATATTATTTCTCTAGAACTTAGTCTATTGTTCATTAGCTTTTTATTCGATTGAGGTAAACCATATGCATATTTTGAAGTAAACGATATCTTATATAGTTTATATTTAAAATTTCTTATTAATGTGCAACAACAAGTGTATCAAATGTCGTATTTTAAAAATAGTCTTTTCTATTTTTTCGGTTTCTTTTCGCTGTTATTCTTGATGCCCTTATAATTAAATTATTAAGCGTAAATTCGTGCACAGTGACGCACACACATTAGATATGTTATCATTACTATATCGCCCTCAGCCCTCTCCCCATCTCGCTCCCCCTCACAACAGCTCCATGTGGCCCTCCCTTTCGCACACTGCTCCAGTTCATCTCGCAGTCGGCGGATAATGAGAATTTAAATCGCAATAAAGTGGCGCTGCAAAAGAAGGAGAAGTAACAAGCTAAAATAAATGTTTAGTTGAATTCTGGGTTGGATTAAAAGACATCCCCCAAAGGGGCAAACATAAGCGCGGGCGGTGGGGGCGTGGCAGCAGCAGACAGCAAAAGTGTTGCCGACTTAGGGACTGTCTGCATCCGAATTATCTGCGAGTATATGTATCTATATTTTCACCAACAGACATGATCAAAATTATAGCTATGCAAGAAAAAAAATTTGTATTATATAATTTATTCAAATGTTTTTTATGGATTACTTTCAAGGGTTGCAAGTTAATGAATTTTAATTAAATTTAAAAGAAATTTTCTATATTAATTTAATCCTATTCATGGGTTTATAGCCAAGTATGAACATATTGGAAAAGAAAGGCAGTAAAGTTTTAAGCTGAAAATTTTGACGAAATTTGGAAATAACAGTAAAAATAATTATCAAGATAGAACTTTTTTTTTGTTACTTAAAAATTTAGTTATTGCTGATTAAGGATTTTCACCCAATTACGTACATATGTTTATTAAATCAAAATAATATAAATATATATTTATATATATGTATAAAATGCGAAACGCCCTAGTGACTATTTTTGTGGTTACAGCTGTAGTCCTTCGTCTGCTCATCCAATTGCGTGCCTGTGTTTGTTTTCGTGTGCGTTAATAAAATGTAATTTTGAACCGTATTTAAGGCGCACCTCGTACGCAGCCTCCGCCGGAGTCATAGTCGCAGTCATAGTCGTAGTCGTAGTCGTACTCGCAGTCGTACTTGCTCCGAAGTCATATCCACCGACAGCTTCTGTCTCGAGCAACGATATTGTGAATCACCCGAAGGGACATTCCCGCCAGCGATTCCGCTCGAAGGGGCTTCAAAAATCACGAAATGAGCTTTCCCAGTGGTAATAACGCCTTGTTAAACAGTAGCAAACGGGAATCCCATGGTATAAGTGCATTAAAAGCCTTTTAAACTTAAGTCAGGAACTGATTTGTTTTTTTTTCAACTTTCTATTGAAATAAGTTTATGTAGGATTTTAAAGTAATTGATTTAGTAACGGTATAATTAATGATTTAATTTTTAAAAGTTTTGCTACTATTATTTTTGTTAAATCAAAAATATTTTAGAAGCATCATTGAAATTCAAATATAAGTTTATTTTGCAAATATAAGTCAATACGGGAACATATAAAAATTTAAGATAAAATGACTTTTTAAGGACTAAACTAAAAAGTGTTTAATGTTTAAAAAGTATTGTAAATTATTAAAAAAAAAAAAAAAAATCTGATTACAAAATATTAACTTTCAAAATATATATATATATTTTTAGAAAGTTTCCAAATCGTCTGTAATTATTTGCCGGAAAAGGCACGGACAATGGGCCAGACGGAGCCTGCGGCGCAGACACATAAATGCTTATTAGCATTAGCAGCGCATTATGAGCATTCACAAAACACGCACACCTTTGCCGAGTGTTTGGGGGAAGCCCCCCCGCTCCTGGTTTTTCTACCATCCACCCCTCACATGTATGTATCCAGGTATCGGGGCTTAGCTGGCATTTGGCATTTGGCATTTGCCACCGCCAGCCATTGTTGTTCGGGGAATATTGTCATGCGACTTGTGTGTTTGCATGCTCGATGGTTTGAATTTTGCATTCCGCATCCAGCAGCCTACATCCTGCATCCCGCATCCCGCATCCCGCATCCTGCATCCCGACTGGATACGCGTCCCAACTGGCGGCATTGAGCTGCAATTATAGCCTGCGTGACAGACAGCCCACGGTAATCAGCTTCTTTTCGGTCCCAAAATTGGGATAACTTCACATCGAGCTTCAATGCATTCAAATTGCATTAAACACTTTCTTGAATGTATCAATTTAAAAAATGATTTATTTATTCTTGCTTGGCTTCGTAGCTGTCTTGCTTTAATACTTTAAAGTTATTGAATAAAAACAAAAATATCTTTTAAAAATGGTATTTAAGGCAATTAAAAAGAAGTTACAAAGTTATGAAATTTAACAGGAAATCAGAAATCTCAATATACAAAAAAACAACAACCGGTACAAATAAATATGCAAAAGCTTTAAATAACTAAATGAAAATCTAATAGTGAAAATTAGGTAAATTTAATATAAAAAAAAAAACAATTCCTTAGGCAATTACATTTATTTAAATTGTGTCATACATTTTATATTTATTTTTTATTGATTTGATTTATAAATGATAATGATTTTATTCAAGTACATTATTGTTATCGAATGGACACTTTGTTGCTTTTCTACCCATTGCTAATGCTTTGTTGTTTCATGGTACAAAAATATGGAAAGTTCATTGTTAATTTGGAATGCGTTTATGAAACAAGCGGCTTTCATATTAAATTTTTTGAACAACACAATTTGAGTATGCCTAACTTTGCTGGTCTTCTGTTGCAACTGTACTTGAATCATTCGGTTGCAATCTTGGCTCGTCTTCAAATTGCTGCAGCCACATATTAACCAGTTACAGTGTCTTCCGCTCAGCACTTTCTTTTTTTCCGCTTTTTTTCTTTTTATTAACCCCTTCATCGCTGTTCTCTGCTGATTTCGTCACGCGCAACCGGAAATTACTTTTTGCATTTTCTTTCTTTTTTTTTTTTGCCATTTTTTGTCGTACTACTACTAGTAGTTCACACTTGGCAGATGCGACTTCTCCTGCAGGAGGTGATACCCCCATCCCGTGATTCCACTTTTCGCTGCAGTTCCTCCTCGAGAGCTGGCTTTTTTCTATCGATAACAAAGGGAAGCCTTATTAGAGTGTTCCTTTATTTGAATGCCACATTTCACACCACGTGGGGGGGGGATGATTGCGGGGAATGCCGTCGGTGGGGTGTCTATTGTGGGAGTTGGTCTTTTTCCAGCAAGCTCACGAGTTCCCCAGAACACCCTATAACCACCCATAACCCCCCAGAATCCCCTATGCCCGATCTGCGCGACAAGTTGCCATTGTCAGCCATTGTGGGGTCCTTTGTTTTAGCTTGGGCTTTGTCAGCTGGGCCAGCTCCTTCAGCCGCCTACATTTTCCAGCACCCACAGTCACCCAGTCTTCTGCATTTTCTTTGCCCGCCATCAGTGGCAACTTTTCATTAACCAAAAAAGAGCTGCCGTGGTTGGTAAGGCTGGCTAGGATGCCACCATGACACATGCTCAAAAACACTTCCCAGTGAACACTGGTGAAAATAAGTGAAGTATACGTTTAAATTGCAGTAGCTTACCTAAACAACCGTATGCTACACTGAAAAGTTTTATTTTAAGTTGAAATGAACAGAACTTAAGAATAGAATAAAACAAAACATAGTCGATTTAGTTTAAGTTTGTATTCTGGTATGTTGCATAGTTATTTATTATTTATTAATTTGATAATAATCACAGCAATAATTTTATAAGCTAGCTATTTGATTTGAAATATTTTTAGTTCCCATTTCATTTTGTGAATCAGTTTTATTCTTATTGAGAAGTTTTATATATTTATATGATAGTTTATTGAAACTTAAATAAAATATTATTTGATTGTTTCTTTCATTTAATTTTACTTAGTTTAATGTTTATTTTAAGAAAAATCACAGTAAATAGTAATTGGTTTTAATTAACCTTTATTATATCTTACAACTACAGATCCCTTAACTAATTTTTTTTTATAATACTATAGATTTCTGCGATTTTTCACAATATTATAGTTGTAAAAATCTAGAATAGTTTTCAAGATCCTATAAAATGTAAATTTTATTTGTGTTAATACTTATCAATTTATTTTTGCAGCGTATTTCGACGAAATTAAAGCCGGAAAATAACTAAGGCCGTGAGGTTAGCGGCAAGTTGTGTTCAGATTTCATCGTTGAGTGCCTGAACGTGTCCACTTTAAATGCCAAATTAAACCAAATAAGCGCCGATTTGGCCAGGGCCCTGAATTTCGCATGGCGTTGGTGGAGGAGCAACAGACGTCTGACCGGAAAAGCGAGAAAAGCGGGAAAAGCCGGCTAAGAAAACTGACGGGGAGATGGATGGATGTGTGAGGGACATCAACTAATTGAAATTGCGCGCCAATTTTGTGGCTAAGCCAGAGTCGGAGTCACAGTCGGTTGGAACTGGGTGTAAGGCAGTGTTGGCCAAGTGTCATGCGCAGAGATACGATGGTTGGGAACACCGTGTTCGGGCCAAGAACCGAAAAGCGTTCGTGCGTTGTCGTTGGTCGGGAAGCACAACAAATTGGAACTACTGGGGATGTGCGTGTGTGAATTCAGTCGTCGCGTCGCATCGCATCGCGTCTCGTCTCGTTTGGCCAAAAAATATCGGCTAAGCGAAGTGCAGTGCAGTTAACGTCGGTATCTGCAGGGTCTCGCATCGTCGGCGGCGCGTTAGTTGTCGAGCAGCGGTCCAACGGTGCGTATGCGTATTTCGTACGGTCCACGGTGCGTATGCTCAACGTTCAGCGCGTTGTTTGACCCACAGCGCTGAGCTGTCTACTCCGTTTCCGTTACCGAAATTCTGATTCGAGAATCGCGTGGTGTGTCGTGTTTTTGCGTCTTCCTCTCGTTTGTTGTGAGTCTTCTTCGCGCGATTATTTTTCTGGCTAAATCCGCGTTTTTTTTTTTTTTGTTGTTTGTTCTGGGTTCGAATTGTACGGCATGAAATCAGCAAAATCCAGCAAGGCAAGACCCTAGTGAGAGTGTGCTAGTGAGATACCCGAGAGTGTGTGTGCGATGTCGGTGTTCGGTTACCATTGATGAATGGCAAACAAATTTAATCAGCCAATGGCCGGTGAATAATAAAGCCAAGCAACAAAGAGAGAGAGAGAGAAAGAAGAAAAACAAACCGCTTCAAGCCAAAATCCAACCACACGTGTATATTAATTTCATTTGAAAAGGTAAGTGCTGCACGATAATTGGTTTAATATTATGGAAACATTTTGGCGCTCTGCCGATCTCCGGCTTCCCAACAACCCTCGGGGACTTTTGATCATGTTCAAGGAAAGAACCTTTTGTTTAAATTGTAATGCGAGAAGGGAACAGAGTGAATTTGTTTCCTTGGGCTTGTGAAATGGAGACATACCTCAGTCTGATAACGCAACAAATGTGTGTGTGATTTTTTGGGCTAATGGTAACTAAAAGGCTTTTATATTTCCATGCAAATTGTTGAGTTCAGTGGGGTTTTGTGGGTGGCCAATTGCTGATACAAAGCGCTCTTCATTTTTTTTTTACCAAAAGTGCGGAATGAGTTTGGCCAGTTATTGAGTTATCGATTCATGGTTATTGAGTAATTAACGATGAATGTTTTCTGGGTGCGAACGCGAATACCTGCCAATAAATATTCCGATGGCTTAACATATAATATACGGGACTATTGCAGTAGCGAATTTTATTAAGTGCCATGTTTTTAATGGGCTATTAAATAGTAATTTTTGTCATCTTAAATTATTATTGTCATTGAAATTCATAAAACTATAAAAGAGGTTCCAACTTCAATTGTTGATCACTCAACTGACTATGATAGTACCCATTCTGGGCTAAGGGGAATTCATTTGGTTAAAGTTTCAAATAATTTGAATGATTTAATTTAATAAAAGGTATCGTTTTTTATCTATCAAGAATAACTCTTAAATTAAAAAAAAATGTGTTAAGGAAATGAAAATATGTAAATAAGGCAATTCAATTTCAATTGTACTGAAACATAAATAAATATATTTACATAAATATATTTGAGAATATATATGGATAAATGTTTCCTGTTAAAAAGCTGATTGAAGATAAAAATCGTTAAAATGTAATAATAGTTTGTTATCGGGTTACTAAAATCGTTGAACTGGTAGATTAAATAACCGTAAAAATTGCATGTAATAAGCCGAAATACAGATGTAATTTCAGTGTAATTTGATGTGACTGCATGTTTCAGTACGAGGGGATTTCCTTTTTACGTTTATGTACCTCTCCCCATTTAACTTTGCCCACTTATGCCCCGGGGTGACATTAACCGGGATCAACTGAGCCGGACAATTTCAATGGACGGCGCAAACGAATCGAAAATTGTTTGCCAAACGCTTTCACCCAGAGGTCTAATTCGATTTGGTCAACTGCAGCTAATAAGGTCAGGCCATTTGTGTGCTAGTTTTTGGCCGGCAATATTTTCCATACTGCATACCGTACACAGCATACAGAATACAGCATTTTGCATTTAACACGACACCAGATTTATGAACCACATGCCCGTGGAGGGACGTGGCCCTCCGGTGGCAGCTCCATCATCGGCGGATGCCGAATCGAATGTCGTTAATAATGGGTCTTGGCCCAGCGGCGAATGCATTTCATAATAATTAAATTAAAATCTGTTTATTTATGCACTTAAGCCGCAGCGGCGGCAGTGGCATCGGCATTGGCAGCTCAAAAATAGCAACAACAATAATAATAATAATAATAAACACTAGTAATAATATGACCATTCTGGGCGGCCATTCGAATGAAATATCTAGATTAAATATTATTTATAATTCAAACAAACAACCCTTATACTCCTCGTGCTCCGCAAAGGCTACCGAATTGGCAGTAATTAATGCAAAACAAAAATGTGCATATAAACACGCCTAGCCATTTGTATTTAAATCAATATTGCGGCCAAGCCAGAAACACTTTCGCAAGAAGGAAAACTAATTTGAAATTGAAATAAGTCTGATCTCGTTGTGGAATTTGCTGAGGCTGCTGCTGTAGCTGCAGCTGCCGACTGATTGAGATTCAAATTTCATATTTACCTCGCCGCCTTCTCTGTAATCCCTCAATTAGCCCAGGAAATAAAGAGATTGCCAGTTGAGTGGGTGAGTGGATGGGTGGGTGTTCCTCGGGCGGTGTCGGCAAAATGAAAATTAAATATTTATGACAACTATCGGGAAACAAGACTTGAACGAAGCGAAATTCTCGATGCCCTGACAGTGGCGACGTTGACGTTCTGTATGTGGATGCAGTTTCTGGGTGGGATCGGGAATGGCGCATTCTTTGGACTGGACTGGACTGGACTGGACAGGACAGGACAGGACAGGACAGCATCAAGTGCAGCAATCGGGAGTTTACACTTTACCCACAAGGGAAAATGCTGGCGAAAAATTAAATAATAATTGAAACAAATGGTAGACAATGCGACTAAGTGCTCTTTTTTTATGTTTTAAGTTGCTGCCGGTTGTATGTCTGATGTTGCTGCAAAGCTCATTTTGTTTAATTATTTACACCTCGTAATATTTTTCTAAATTAAATTTGTGAATTCTTTTTTATTCCTTCTGGCTTGGTTTTTTTCTACCTTAAGTATTTTTATGCAATTTATATATATATATATATATTGTTTTATTAAGACATTCTGTTTTTGCTCTACACCCAGAAAAAAATCATGGTAAATCCAAATATTTAAACTTACAATTTTACATTCAAATATTTTAATGTTTAATTTAACTATGGGATTTTTCTCTGAGTGTAGCTCAAGAACCACTTAAGACAAGCTCTTGTTTCTATATTTCCGTACTTTTCTTTCTCTTTTTTTATACCCTTGCAGAGGGTATTATAATTTCAGTCAGAAGTTTGCAACGCAGTGAAGGAGACATCTCCGACCCTATAAAGTATATATATTCTTGATCAGCATCACTAGTAGAGTCGATCTAGCCATGTCCGTCTGTCCGTCCGTCTGTCCGTCTGTCCGTCCGTCTGTCCGTCTGTCCGTCCGTTTATATGCAAACTAGTCTCTCAGTTTTAAAGCTATCTGCATGAAACTTTCCCAAAAGTTGTCTTTCTATTGCAGGTAGTATATAAGTCGGAACGAGCCGGATCGGACGACTATAGCATATAGCTCCCATAGAAACAATCGGAAAAATAAATGAAAAAAAATTATAACTTTGCTGTTTTTAAATTTTTTTTTTAGTTCTTCGACATATGGCAATGGTTAAATATTTCAGAATTATGGTTTAAATTTCATCAAAATCGGACGACTATAGCATATAGCTCCCATAGGAACAATCGGAAAAATAATTGAAAAAAAATTATAACTTTGCTGTTTTTTAATTTTTTGTTTTGTTCTTCGACATAAAGCAATGGTTTAATATTTCAGAATTATGGTAAAAATTTCATCAAAATCGGACGACAATAGCATATAGCTCCCATAGGAACAATCGGAAAAATAAATGAAAAAAAATTATAACTTTTCTGTTTTTTAATTTTTTGTTTAGTTCTTCGACATTTAGTAATGGTTAAATATTTCCAATTTACGGTTTAAGTTTCATCAAAGTCGGACGACTATATCATATAGCTCCCATAGGAACAATAAAAATATATAAAATAACTATCAAATAATTGAGCTGCAAATCATCACAGCTTCAATGTTTTTAAACGTATACGCAAGTAAATTATAATTTTAATGTTTTCAAAAATGTTTAATTCTTGCAATAGCTGCAAGGGTATATGAACTTCGGCTTGCCGAAGTTTGCTTTCTTTCTTGTTTTTAACTTATTTATATGTGCCTAAATCCTCTTTTTGTTTATTTGGACTTAAGCCCCATACATTTATGGCTTTTCATGTTGTTGCCCTTTATGTTGCTGCTATTTGTCAAGCATTTGTCTTCGTTTTATCTAACACATTTAATTTATTTGAAACATTTTTTGTTTTGTTAGTATAGCAAGCTGTTTTTGTCTGTTGCATTTGTTATTGAAAATTAAAGATGTAATTGTTTGGCTTATTGTTTTTGAGCAAATTGTTTTGAATGGCAAGTGATGATTTTGTAAAAGAATTAGTTTCCAGAATGAGTGACATGCATGTCGCTGTCATAATTTAAATGTAACCTTAAATAAAGGAAGATTTAAGTCAGTTCGTAGTTACATATAAGAACCTAACAGAACTTACAAGTCGTCGAAAAGATTAGATTTCAAAAGCTATTTGATGATGTGCGAAGCCACCGAGGATTAGATGTTATTTTCTACTTTGGTTTCTATCTTCAAAAGACCAAGAGTTGCCCCCTTTGGATGCTGCAACATCTGATGTTGCCGCTTTAACACCTTTTGTGCCAGAAGTTGCTGCTGTTGATGTTGCTAATAGCCGGCTGATGTTGCTGCTTCTTTTTGGATGGTGGTGGTCGTGGTGGTGCCTGGGGCTCAGGATCAGGAACCGGATGATTCTTGGCACATTCCATCCTCAATGGAAAGGAATCCTGGCCTTGGAATGCCCGGCATTAGCATGAGGATTTCTTTAATGGAAACGCTCGAACGGATTTTCCGGTGGGGTTTTGTTCTACAAGCAAACTGCATTTGCACGCAGATTGCATTCTTGGGATGGCTGTAAACATTTCACTTTTTTGCTCGGTCATTTTTTCTTTTTCTTCTTTTTCTATTTGCCATTTCTGTGTAATAGGAATTAAGCCATCGGCCGCAATCAACCTCGTTATCGTGCACAAATTGCAAAATTTGCATTCGGGCACCGAGGGTAAATAAGATTAGACATGAACCGCCTGCTGATTCATGGCTATGGAATGCAAATGGATATGTTCGCATATATTTATATATATACTCGTATATATATATATATTTATATGTCTCCTTGGGGGGCGGGAAGATGATTTGGCCGCAAGTGGGCGATCCTAATTGATGGTTTAGAGATGCTAGTTACGGTTCCTTACGGTTCATTGGCTAATGACAGATAAAATTCAAATGCGTATTGCTGCAAAATTACGGTGAGATGTGCCACATTGTAAATGCAAATGCGAAACTTGCGGCTAAGTGAATGATAATTGTATACAATCAAATGCTAAACTCTTGAGTATCGAATTTCAATCGTTCATGATAAAATAAATAGAGAGGTGTTTTATA